AGATGTTTTTCAACATCCCAGTCTAGACTGAGAGAGAGTGACTAACCCAGAGTCACTGGAATCCGTTGTCTCCTACCTTATCCTGCCAAATCAATCACCACATTGATTTGTCTCTATTCTACACACGCACATACTGTTATATTTACATACTTTCTCATTCTGCTCTTTTCCATTATCATTTAAAAGTGGAGGTAGTTGTCGCTGGATCTTGGTTAAATATTCAGTTTAAGCAGCCAGCTTCCATAATTAACATTCTCTTTTATATATTCATGGCAAAAGGTATTATTAAAGAAACAGGACCTATGTAGGTTAACTAATTGTAACTATATAGGATACACACGGTGGCTGTATTTTTCAAGCAGATGAAAGGTAAAGAAATTTAAACATTAAACTAATTTCTGTAGTGAGCTCTATAATATAGGCAGGTTAGTATTTTAAAAATAATTTTCCTATAGCTAATCAAGGATGAGCAATCTATATAAGTGATGGGAAATCACAAGTTGCAGCCCCAGTTTTCTAGGCTTATCACAAACTTCAAAACATTTAATAAATAGGATCTATGCATCATTTAATAAATAGGATGTATGGATCAGTGAATCATTCTCTGATCATTTCACTTTCTGCTCATTGTCTATTTGAGCCTGCATATCTTTCTTTGGATTAGGTTCTACTTTTAATAGGACTTACATCCACATATATCTGCATGGAATTAGGGATCCTGGCTAGAATACTGGCCACACTTACATTAGCGTAATGCCCATTACTTATTCCTTTGTTAAAGGAACTGACATGCAAAACAAATAAATGGATTGTTTAGAATGCATGCTTACAGTGATTTAAATCATTTACTTATTTTTCTTTATAAATGTGCTTGAAAAATTAATTGTAAGCCACCTTACATAGGCAAAAGGGCAGCATATGCATTCCAAAATAATAAATGTCATGATGCAGATTAAAATACTATCTGAATAAAAATGGTTGAGAACCACTATGCAGCTCGCTGATCTAGGTACAAGTAGCACTACCAGATCTGAACTATAGAATCTAGAAACTTTCTGCTGCTATCTAGTGACTGACTGGATTTTTGTAGCTCTTTCTGTTTAATTGATGCAGATTGAAAAAACCAGTTTGGATTAATAGTCATTCTAAATTTATATCAATTGGCCATTTGAATAAGATAATTTGTTAAACTTCCATACATTACAGTATAGAAGCCAGAGGCATAACTATGAGAATGCTAAAAAAGCCTTGGAAATGGAACCATGACACCTCCTAAAATTGCCACCAAATTGTAAGTTTTAATGTCAGAGGAGGAAATATTAAAACACAAAGAAATGCATTCAGCACAACATTTGCTATTATTATCAGACTTTATCAGTACTACCCCTTTTCCTGGTTCCTAAAAACAATACCAGTATAGTAAGTCAGCAAAAGTTTTGTTTTTTCCATTAGGTTTTTT